GCGGTTTTCTGGGCGGGACCTCCCCGAGGGGAGTGCAGGCTTATCTGCTTGACAGTGGCTCTCCCGGGATCCAGCCCCAGAGCCGCGATGTGCAAGCCGGGGCCGCCCAGGTCCGAGGGGCGCTTCCCGGCGTCGGAGCTCCCGGGGGGAGGAGGATCCCCGCGCGGCGTCTGATTGGAGGAGCCGCGCTGTAGGGTTCCTTCCCCGGGGATCACGTCTGGGGGCAGAGGGGAGCGGGGTGGGGAGTGGGGGCGTCGTGGGTGGACAGATTGCCTGGGAGGTCTGGACCGCCCGTTCAGCGTGGCGGAGGATCGCAGAGAGCTCGGGTGGAAGCGGAGCCTCCCCAGACCGGGATCCCAGCAGATCCCGGGGGGCGGGGGGCCCCCGAGGGGGAAGGGAGTGGGTTTCAGGGCAGAATCTTCCGCAGGGACAAAGGCCCCCGGAGGCTCGGGCCTTGGGGACGACAGTGGCCCGCCGCCCTCCAGATTCTCGCGGCAGGTGCCAGGGATCCCGTGGTAGCCCCGGCCGCCCTGCTGAGCCCTAGGGCTCGGCCGTGAGCTCCCGGGCGCCCGCGGGCGGACCATGGAGGGCGGAGCCCCGCGGGAGGGACTGGCCCTTACCCCCCGCTCCCCCGCTGCCCCCCCATCCCAGGCCGCAGCCTGGGATCCCTCAGGGATCCCCCCGGAGCCGCCGCTTCCCCCATGGACTTGCCCGGGGACTCCAGGTGAGAGCGCGCCCCGCCCGCCTGTCTTGGTCCCGGGAGACGGGGGAGCCCGGCGGCCGCACCAGGGAGACCACAGAACCGGCGACGGGCTTGGGCAACTGGCCTCTGCTTCTCTTGCTCTCTAGCGCGTCTGGCTCACGGCATCTGTGTCGCCAGCCACTGGCCCGAGCATTATGGGCTGCCGGGAGCGCCAAACGGCCGAGGCTGCAGCCTCTGGGGGCTCCTTCGCCCCTGGAAAAGGCCTCTCGACGGGTCCTGGCCGTGGTGCTGGAAGATGTCATGGCTGCCCACATGGTGAGCCCCCTGGACTGAGAGGCACCCCAACACTTTCTCTTATCTCTCTCTCTCTCTCACACACACACACACACACACACACACACGCACAAATTCTCTCTCTCTCTGACTCTCACTCTTAAGTATCAGAGCCATATCAGACCCCTACAGAAGCAAGACACAGGTCCGAACACGCCCCTCCAGTGCCCTTCACCCAGGCAGCCTCCCGGATGCAAGAGTTGCACTTGGCTCCCACTTGCTCCACCCAAGTCTGGGGCAGGACTTTCAGTAGCTGGTGCCCACCACCAACTCTGTTGCACCAGATCCATGCCCAGAAGGCTCTTCTGAGTCGAGGCAACCTCTGAGATCTAAGAGGCTTTAGGTCACAGATGAGGACAGCTGGGGCACAAAATATGGCGATGACCCACCCCCACGAGGTCACTTTTCAATCCTTCAAACAGCCTGCCTAAGAAGATTATGGGTCAGTCACTCCGGACACCAAGTTGGGTTTTTTTTCCCTCTGGAAATGATAAAGTGAGACTCTCGCCTTTGAGGCACAAGGGGACCCTGCCCACGTCAACCTTATTCCACCACTCTGCTCTTCCTACAGGTCCCTCTGGTGCCCCAAAGGGAAGCCGTCAACCCACGGCACCACAGCAACCACTGGGCCTCCGTCCCCAGGCAGACGCCTCCTGCCTCGCTGTCTCCACAGCCTGCGTGGGCCTCACCGGCCAGGTGAGTATAGCAGGTTGGAGGGTAAGCTGGGGACCCGAGGAGCCTCTCTGACCTTCCTGCACCTCCTTTAGATCTCCCAACCCTCTGCACTTGTGCCGAGAGCCCTTAACCCGCAGCCACCGGCCGCCTCCAAGCCTGAGGCGGCGACAGAGGACGAGCCCTGGCCCAGAGGAGGGCTCTCCACCAAAGGCAAACAGGGGGGCCCAGCCCACCCTGGTGGTGATGCTGGAGGACATTGCTGGCTCTAGACCGCCAACTGAGGTGCCCAAGCTTCAGGTAAGACAGTCAGGGTTCCACTGAGGACAGGTATTCCAGGAAAGAAGAGAGGATTAGGTTTGAGGCTGAGCTAGGTTGTACTCAGGGCAAAAAGGCCAGCATTTTTGGTGGGAGACTCTAAACCCCGACTTAGGTGAAAGTCTTTGGTGTGAACCCAGGCAGGTGTCGGGAGACAGAGAATTGGGGTTCTAAGAGAAGAAGAGGCAAACAGGGTGGGCCAAAGGGAGCTTTCCTCCCTCCCCACAAACATTCTCTGTTTACACCCAGGGCTTTGATCCTGAGACCTCCAACTTCACCCCGGCCCAAAGGTAAGAGGGCCAGGGAAGGGATGCGCCAGAGCATCCAGGTGGACTGGAAGCCAGTTTCTCCTGGGGTCACTTTCAGAAAGCCTAGGTGACAGGGGAGGTTCTGGTTCAGATGGGATATGGACCTGGAAGCTCCCTGAGCCGTTACCTGGCTTCTTCATTCTAGGGATGAGCCCATGCCAATGGCTCCCCAGCCAACCCCTTTGCCCAAGGACCTGGAGCCCTCCTTCCAGCCATCTGCCCTGCCTGTTGGTTGTTCAGAGAGCCCCTCAGCCGGTAAGGACTTCCGTCAAGGGATGAAACTGGCCACCTGGGAAATCCTGGGCGCCTTCGGAAGTGTCAGGTGCAGGCTCGAGAGTAGGATCTAGAGGCGTTCAGAGTGAGGACAGTGTTTTCAGGTGTATCTGAACATTCCCTACGTTGGTGGTTCCACTCGAGAGACCCAGTTCCGCTCTCAGCCTATGCACAGCCACGATGTGTGTTTTCATTGTGCATGTGTGTGTGTGTGTTGCTGTGAGGCAAAACAGGTTTCAGGGGAGCTTCCAGACTGAGACAGGCTAGAAAGAAAAGCCTGGTGATCTACTGGTGAAAATGAGTCCATGGTGACACAGTGGATGATGGAGCAGCACAGAGTGGCAGCGTGTTCCATTGCACACAGCATCGCTCTGAGACAGGAGCTGACTCCACGGCTGTTAGCCACAGCCCCGCAGGACTGAGCCTAGGGGGTGACTGAATTTCAGATTTCAGCAGCCTGAGGTTCAACTCCTTTAAGAAGGGCTTCGGTTTGGGTTTTGGGTGGGGGGTGGGGTGGTCCTTATTCCTCCTTGGAAGGCAGTGTAAAGGTCAGTGTAGGGGGAGGTGCTGACCTCCTGAGGGGTGGTTTAGATCATCGGTCTCTGAGGCCTGACCCCTGGTGACTCACTCCCATCCTCAGTCCCAGATCCTGACCTGGAGTCCTCAGTCCCAGATCCTGACCTGGAGTCCTCAGTCTCAGATCCTGACCTGGAGTCCTCAGGCCCAGATCCTGACCTGGAGTCCACCTCAGCCCCACCAATGTCCACTCTCTTACGTCCTCGCCTCAGCCCTTGGGGCTTAGCCCCACTCTTCCGTTCCGTCCGTTCCAAGCTGGAGAGTTTTGCTGACATCTTCCTGACACCCAACAAAGTCCCTCGGCCCCCACCCCCGGCACCTCCCATGAAGCTGGAATTGAAGATTGCCATCTCAGAAGCTGAGCAGTCTGGGGCGCCCGACACCACTACCTGTGTCAGTCCACGGCCCCCTATTCACCAGTGGCGGGGCCAGGACCACAGTCCCCCAGCACTGCTCCCTAAGTCCTCTCTGGGCCGAAGTCACTCCTGCCCTGATCTAGGGCCCCCAGTCCCAGGTGCCTGCCCCTGGCTCCCCGTTACACCCCATCTCAGTCGGCCGAGGCCCCGACGGCACACTGTGGGTGGTGGCGAGATGGCCCACGCCGCACTGCTGCCGCCGCCTCCTCGACCCTGTCTTCGGAAAGAAGTGTTTCCTCTTGGAGGGATGGGCACCTCCCCACCCCTCACTGCATCTTGCTCATCCACCACGTCCGCATCTTCCTTCTCAGAGCCAGCAGATGCCAGGTGATGCCCTCAGTAAACCTTCCTTCCAGCTCTGGCCAGGGCTTCGGCTTCAGCCCAGCCCACTGCCATCATCCTCCAGGGTAGGAGACGGCTTCTGCTATGAATGTGGTCTGTCCCTGAGCCTTGACCTTCTTGGCAGGTTGGGCTCACCTCAAAGGAAGGAGCCAAGGGCCTCAAAGGACCAGGTTCATTCAGACCCCAAGACCAAGGTAGGTGTACAGGCGAGGGAGATGTGCCAGGTAGAGGCCTGAGCCCATGCCACGCGCTCACCCTCTGCCCCTTGTCTGCAGACCATGGGGAAGGTGTCTCGATTCAGAATACGCAGGACGCCAGCCAGGCCACAGCCCAACCTGACACCCATGGGGCTGCCTCGACCAGTCAGGTGAGAGGCACTTCGCCCTTGTTGATGCCTGGGCCAAACGTGTGTGGCATTGGATCCCTGCAGAGTGACGCTGGTGGGGAGCACAGTCCAGCCTGGAGGGGCTGAAACTGGAACAATGACCTGTCTGGTCCTGACTTGCCTAAGAAACTGAACCATGAGGGAACATCAGAAAGTTCTGTGGGAAATGGGATGCAAAGACAAAGGCGTTTGCCCAATGAGCTGTTTGAAGGCTACTCTGGGCACCCGTGCCAGCTGCAGAACCCAGCTATAGCCCCAGGCTTCTGGGTGACCGCTGCCCTTTGCCCCCAGGTTGAACAAGACGGAATTCAGTTTGGAAGAAATTTACACCAACAAGAATTACCAGTCTCCCACCACCAGGAGGTGAGAAACTGGAGGGCTTCAGGGGTGGTAGAGGGAAGGCTGGAGCCAGGGAGCAAGCCCCGTTGGTGACCAGAACCGTTTCCTGCCTGGTCCAGGACCTTTGAAACCATCTTTGAGGAACCCCGGGAACGCAACGGAACTCTGATCTTCACCAGCTCTAGGAAGCTCCGGCGGGCCGTCGTGTTTCGGGACAGCAGCCTTCCTCGTTCCCGGCGGCCCTACCGAGGGGTCCGTGCTGCAGCTGGCAGGACCCTTTCTCCCAGCCCGGCCCCTAGCCAAGATGTGGGACCTCTGCTGCAGCAGCGGCTGGAGGAGCTGGATGCCTTGCTCCTGGAAGAAGAGGAGGAGGAGCCCATGGATGGGGACCAGCCCCACTGGACCTAGGAACTCCATGTTTGCCCGTCTGTCCATCCGTCCTGGCGTGGGGAAGCCACCTGAGGGAGTCATGATTATTTTTCTTTATATTTCTAGTAAAGTTTTCGCTATGTTTGATTCTTTTGTGTGTCCTGGGCTGAGCTTGAGAGTGATTGACAGGATTGGCTGCAGTTTTCCACTTTGGCCCCCAAAGAATTGGATTGGGAAATCCCCAGGGACTGTGCCAGTCCAGTTATCGGAGCTGGGTGCAGCAGAGAGGAGGTGGGGAAATGATCCTCAGAGATTCTGTCTCCATGGGTGAATGAATTCTCCTGCTTGGAGGTGTACTTCAGAATCTGCTGTAGACAGTACTGTGACCCTTAGGGACCCTGGGCAGGGGCCGGTTCTCCAAATTCTCTTAATGGAAGAGACTGGCAAGCCCAAAGTCACCCCCAAACAAACTCACTGCCAGCAAGTTGATGCCAACTCATAGCGACCCTGTAGCACAAGGTTAAACTGCCCCCGTGCATTTCCCAGACTGTAACAGGAGTGGAAAGCCCCATCTTTCTCCCAGTGCTGAGGAAGGCTTTGATCAAATGAATTCCTCCAGACACAGACCCGGCCAGCAGGCCAGGTACTTGAACATAGCTTTGTGGAGGGCACCCGATGGTCACTTGATATATGACAGGTGAGCACCGATGCATTGTTCATATAGAAAACAACAATCATCCTGGCAGTAAGGCCAGGACTAGGCATCGTTTGTAACTTCGAGGCAGCATACAGTGGCTAAAAGCAGTGACTCAGAGGCTGGCGTCTTGAGTTCAAAGTCCTGCGAGGGCCCCATCATTTTCCTCCTCTGTAAAATGGAGATCGGACTCCTTTCTGTTAAGTAGCCACTTAACGAACTATTGCCCAAAATGAGTTAACACACTAAAAGGTGCCTGGCACCCAAGTGCGAAGTGGTGTTTTTCCGGTTAGAGCTGGGGGGCTGCGGAGCCCACAAACCAGATGCCCGCGGCTTCCTTGCAGTGCATCTGGCTCTCCGAGAGCACGCGGCGGGGCGACCCCGCGGAGCTGCCACCCAGCGGGGTGATCGCCACGCGCGTGCGCGAAGCGCCAGGCGGCCGGTGGGTGGGAAAAAAAACCGAGCGGAGGCAAGGAAGAGATGACGTCACGAGTCGTCGGACGGGACCTTCCGCGTCCGCGCCCCCAAGCGGCCAACCGCCCCGAAAGGCTCGCGCACGACGCCCCGACTCCGCCCGCCCGACGTCGGCCGGGGGCCGGCCAATCAGCGACGAGCAGGAAGAGGCGGGTCCTCGGGAGGAACCTCCCGCCGCACCTACTTCCAACGAGTTGAGTCACAACACGCGAAGGGCGGAGCTAATCGGGTGTGCACCCAATCCCAGATTTGAGGGGGGTTATATATGGCCCACTTCCCCGATTTTGACTCAGCCCTTCGTCTTGACGTAAATTCGTCGGCCTATCGGCGCCCAAGGCTGGGGCCCGTGGAGGAGAGAGGAGGCGGGGCAGGGTGGGAGGCGGCCGGGAGAGGAAGGAGGCGTAGGCCGAGAAGGAAGAGGGAGGCGGGGCAGGAAAGTCCTGGTGGAGACGCGGCCCGACACGCCAAGGGAGACAACAGGAGGGTGTGCTGGCGCCCCCCCGCTGCCTAATGGCCGCCCCGGACCTCGTAACACCCAAGTCAGACTGAGACGGAAGAAAGGAAAAGACTTTTATGTCGGCAGACGGTGCAGCTTCAGCCGTCATCGTTGCC